AATCATACCAAGTTTTTTCTGGGTTAAGTATGAGCTGTGTGGATATGAAATTGAGTTTGAATTTCTGTCTTTTGTTTCAAATTTTGTTGGCAATATTTCTAGTAAAGTTATAAACTCATGGTTGATAATGAGAAACTGTTGACGAAGAAGCTTTTACGAGATTTCAATCAATGTGAAACTCATGAAAGTTTTGAACTTTAAACGTTACTCTAGTATTTGTTTTTTTTTTTAAATGATTTGATCCAGTGAACTGCTGAGATCACATAAAGGCCAAAGGTGAGATGACTTAAGCTCAAAAGCACATCAGGATATGCAAGAAGATACAAGTTTCAGATCAAACTGCAGATACTGCATAAATGGAGAATTGACAATGGATTAGTAAACATAAAGAAAGTTCAGTGAATAATTTCTCATCTTAATCTAAACCACTAAATACCCTTTTGAATAAATTGTTCTCCCATTTCGTTAGTCCAATGAGTTGTTTCAGCTCCAGAGTCACGAAATCAAGTTAACTGGTAATGCCTTAATATTAAGCTCATAAACTTCTTCCAAAGCTCCATGTATCTCTTTTGTTACCCTCGAAGTAGGAGTTTGTGCGAGAATCTAAGCACAACAGGTTTTGGGATTGTTGAATTGTCTAATCTAAGAGTTTTGGATTAACTCAAAGAAACTTAAGCTAGATTTCATCAAGTTAAATATAAGGCACTGCACATTCAGAAAATATCGAAACGACATGTTGAATCCGCAGAAGAATACATTCTACATACAAAACCTCCTTGACAAATCACAAACCACATGAGGTTATATGGAGCCGTGAACAGTTAACCTACTTAAGAGTTAAGACCCACAAGCTCTTGAGATTTATTTAGCTCAAAAGAACATATATATGCAATAGAGTTTCAAACCTTCACATACTGCTACTTTATAGATGAACAAAAACTACCAATAGATTAAAAGACTCGTAAACATGGAGAACTTTCAGTAAATTTCTCATCAGAATCTAAACCATTGGTCTTTTCCTACCTTCTCAAGATACATGATTATCCATAGATTTGAACCAACAAAAGAAAAACACGCATACAGACCATGGAGTAAGTCTAGGTAAGTTTAAAAGCCTTAGAGCTTAGCCAAGAACAAACCTTTCGACAAAATGCACCCAAAGCTAACAAAAAGGAATTCTTCCCTACCCTTCTTTCACTTCCTTTGCTCAATGGTCTTCAAACCTCACGTTTTAAGGTAATTCTCTAGAATCAAGTTCGAAAAGCTCACTCGTATCTCCGCCTATCTCCTTGGTTACTCGGGAAGCAGGAATCTGATGGGAGAATCTGAGCATTTTTGACTTTGGGATCGAAAATATCACCTCTGACCTATCCTCATCGTCGCAGTCAGGATGCCTACTCTCAGCTGCTCTAAAGAATGTAGTTTTACCTACATCTTCATTAGAAAACAACACGGGCTCCAACGCTAAAACCTTATATTCCAAACCTTCATCAAGAACTTCGACAATGTCATAGTTGCAGTAACCATCGTCCATGACCTCCTTCTGACCAGTCTAGAATCTGTAAATCGCCCAAACTTCGCCAGTCCCGGGAAGAATGGTATATTCATTTCCATCCATGATAGTTTGAGGCACTATCTGAAGTGAAACATCATCTGCGGTGAGTATTTCGAAACTTTTCTTCACCAAGAAAGTTCCACAACCAACAGGCATTTTCTTGTCCTCCCACTGGATGATGTTCTCAGGGAAAGGAGTAGCCTTTAACCGACCTACGTGTAGTTTAAACACTGGTTCCTGCTCAAAGGCCTGAATTAGAGTGATCTTCTGAATCATACAGTAGTACAGAGGCAACTTATCATTACCACTGTAAAATGACCAGATCTGGCCAGTTTGAAAAACCTTTCCCTTACTAGGAAAGTCAAGAACTTCTGGTTTTGACTTTGAAGCGGTAGGATCTACTAATAGATACAAAGGGACAGTTATCTCTTTGATTGTTTCAGGTAATGCAGCTTGGTCCAGCTCGTATGCATCTTTTGGCAAGCCTTTTCCTTCTTTTCCAGACATTTCGAAGGAAGGAATCCTGTGGGAGAACCGATATAAACTGTGAGAAGGAATTTGAGATATGTCTGCATCCTCTGTTCCCACTCGAAAAAAGACACTTGCAAAGCCTTTTGCTTTATGCAAGAATGAAACAGATACACCAGCTCCATCAGTGTAATCGGACAAAATCTCAACAAACTCATACTCATATTTGCGGTGAGAATCTGGCTCTGAAGACCAGTTAATATCCCAGTTCTTGAATAGTGCCCAGGTCTCGCCTTTTCTCGGGGACACAGTGAAATGACCAGCGTTGCTTCCTTCATTGCAATGTATAACATGTGAGAATATCGAACAATCTTTGATGTTATAACTTTTCCCAAGCCTGAATATACCAGCAGAAACAGGCAAGTCTTCTTCAAACCATTGGATCTCTTTCTCATCATCTGGATCGGGCTCTAGATATGTGATCCTAAGCCCGAAACAAGGAGCTGAAACTTTTCTAATCTGAGCATACAATCTAGGCATCCCATCCATTGTATCATAAAGATCCCAGGTCTGGCCAACCTCAAAGTTTGCATCTTCCCTCAGCTTATTGAAATCATTAAACTTCGGACTAGCAGTTTCAGCATTCTTTGATTGTACCAACTCTTGTCCCCTTTCTGCATCTCCTTCATCACTGGTACCTCTTGTATTGCTATGAACAACACCGCGATTTCCAGCATTGCAACTTTCCCCATTCTCGTTCCTCTTTCTCTTCTCACCGACATTGACATCACAACTATTCAAACGAGGGGAACTTTGCAATTCTGACAAACGAACCATTTATTGATATATATATTTTAAGATAATGATACCTGCACCCACAGTTACGACAACTAGTCCAGAAGCTCGGACAGCAATTGGAGGCAACTGGATGTATTTCGCGGCGAATTTGAAGCAGTACCCTTTTATGTGTAATAGTGGTAGATGAATTTCTCCCTGCTTTAAGGCCTTGTAAAGGAGATTCAAGCGCGGTGAATTCCAGTTTGCAATATCGACAATTGGTGGGTTTGTTGAGAAAGCCTCTATGTAATCTGTACATCACGGCACAAAATGGACACATAGTCCAAAACTTTTGAATGCCACTGGAAGGAGTAGGGTCAGAGGAAGTCTCATGAATCCAAGTCTCTATAGCACCGTTAATGGTGATATCAACCATCTAACAAAGAAACGACAAGGCAACTGGGTCAAAAGCAAACTTTGAAAACTCGAGTGGACAAGACAGCTACCTTCTCTTTAGGTTCCTTTAGAAGAATATGGCGAGTTGGATCATTATTTGCAAGCAAGTCGAATCAGAATTAGAAGTAATAAGAGAACCCTAAACGAATACAATAAAACCAAATCTCACAACAGGGGAAATGAGAAAACCTAAAACCCTAGATTGAGCAATTAGCACTAAGTTCATGTGCAGGATAGATGATACAAAAAAAACAAAAAGATACCTACCGATTCACGCAGCAGCAAACCACAGTCGTAAGCGGCTGAAACTTTTGCCGGAAAAGAGACGGACGATAAATAACACAAAGGCAAATGTAATTTTATTTTTTTTTCTTTTTTGTGCAAAAGGAAAATATTAACTTAAAAAATATAAATAAATCTCAAAATATCCAAAGTCTATTGGCGAAACAAACCTAAAATTTGAAAAAAAAAGCAAAAGATCATGAGTTTTCTGATATGCAAATTTGTGTTGATTGGCCATTTTTTAATCAATGATTTAATATTCAGTTAAGTGTTGTTATCTCTGATGTAAACTAGTGAGCTGTTGAAATCACCTCAAGGCTAACGTTTAGATTTAATTCAGCTTAAAAGTACTGTGTTGTTTCAGCTCTAGAGTCATCATAGAATCAAGTTAACAGGCAATGCCTCAATGCTAGGCTCATAGACTTCTTGCATAGCTCCATGTATCTCTTTGGTTACTCTACAAGTAGGAACCTGGTGCGAGAATCTAAGCAGTTCAGATTTCGGGATTGTGAATCTCACATCGGCGCCATCAATCCAATGCTCAATTGCAGCCGTATACACCAAACCAAAACCTGCAGAACTGGCAAACTTAAAGCCACCATCAGGGGCCAACAGCAAAACTTTGTAGTCTGACTTATCATCAAGAACTTCCACAAGATCATAAGTTTGGGATTGCAAACCAATGACTTGAATCTCATTACTCCAGTTTCTGTAGATTGCCCAGACATCACCAGTCTTGGGCATGATGCTGTAATCATTTCCATCTCCAGAGGAATCTAGGCTTATCTGACGCGAAAACACATCAAGATCAGTGAATATTTCGAGAACTTTTCTTGCCCGGAAATTCCCACAGCCAGTGGGCATTTTCTTGTCAATCCATTGGATGACACCTTTGATAGGTGTAGCCTTTAGCCGACCTACATGCAATTTCACCACCGGATCCTGCGCAAACGCCTGAACAAATGTGATTTTCTGAATCTTGCCATAGTACCGGGGCAAGTAATCGTCACCACTGCAAAATGACCAGATCTGGCCAGTTTCAAAAGTTATTCCTTTGCTAGCGAAGTAAACACATTGCGAATTCTCAGAATTTGGCACTGTAGGCTCTGCTAGTAGATGTAGAGGGACATCAATCTCTTTGATATTTTCTGGTAATGCTGCGGGATCAAACTCATAAGCAATTCTTGGCACACCTTCCGCTTCATTTCCCGTTATCTTGAATGATGGAACACGGTGGGAGAATTGATTTTCATAATTACCATTATGATGAACGTAACATGACTCAGTTTCCTCAGTAAAGCGACAAAACACACTTAAATAACCTTTTGCTTTATGCAAGAATCCAACAGGTGAAGATCCGTGATCATGGTCTGACAAGATTTCGACAAATAGATACTGATATTTATTGTGAGACTCAGGATCAGCTGACCAGTCAATGTCCCAGTTCGTACAGAGAGACTTGTAGCGACCTTTGAAGACTGCCCATGTCTCTCCTTTTCTTGGGTATACGCTGAATTTACCTGTGTTACTTCCTTCATTGCAATGAACCACATGAGAAAACCTTCTCTGATCTTCTATATTCTCGTTTTTCCCAAGCCTAAACTTACCAAGAGAAATAGGTAATTCTTTTTGGCACCTCTTCATTTCTTTCTCGTCTGGATCAGGCTCAAGCCATGTGACACTAAGACCGAAACCGGGAACTAAAACTTCTCTGATCCGAGCATACAATCTTGGCATCCCATCAGTATCATAAAGAGCCCATGTCTGACCAACTGCAAAACTGCTTTCTTCCCTCAGCTTATTAAAGTCATTAAAATTTGAATAATGTTTTGCTCTTTCTGGTTCTTCTCCAGTTTCTTCCTTTTCCAAAGACCCTTTAAGATTACTGTTGCCTTGCACATCGAAAGCCTGTCGCTTGCTAAACACAGACCTCAGAGACTGCTCTCCTCCATAAAAGCCAAACTCTTTTAAAGCTTTAGTGTCACCAACAAAAATAACTTCTTCAGTCTCGCCGCTGTTTCTTGTTTCTCCTTCTTTTCTCACCAATCCTTCCCTCTTCCTCTTCTCACCAGTGGTTGTGGCAGAAGAGAATGCCTGAGGAAACTCTCGACCACCATCAAGGTTGGTCTTTTCCATCTTGAGTGACTCTTCCAGTATCATTTCAGCTTGATCAGGGTAAGTCCTTTTCATCATCAACAATGAACAAATAAAGTAATCAAAACCAAGCAAAACGTTACAAAAAGCCAGGACAAGGAGTAAACAACTGAAATTCCTCGGAAGAAACAACAAAGAATCTATTAAAACCCAGCCCCCATTTCTCTTGAATACACATTTGAAAAAGCCTTAAAACTCTACCCATGAACCACGATGGAGAGAGCAATACACAACACAATAAATCAGATACAACGAGACTATCCAGGAAAACACAACAGACGAAACACGATTCGAATCAAAGGGTTTTCGCAATAACGAGAACTAAATCGGAAAACAATGGCAGCGATTTTCGCCGGAGAAGAAGAAGAAAGCCGGTTAAGGAACTCACTCTGTCTGAGAAGCGGCAGTGCTCAGGCGAAGGTTCTTCTCAATTTACCCTTTTTCACGGCGGTAAAACCCTTTTCCCCAATTTGTTTTGGTGGGAAAATGTTACGCCGAGAAGAGTATAAATGGGCCAACGATCGTTAAGGGCCCAAGAAGCCCAGCTAATGAGTTTATTATTAAAAGAAAAAGGAAAAAAGATCCGGTGAAAACATATAGATTCCTTATTTTGGAAATACAATAATGATTCTAATTTATCCAGCTTTCCTTAGGGTTCCAATTTTGAAATTTCAATTTCTTTCTCTCTCTACCATTTTCCCCCTCTCTATT